ACCGCACTCTCTGCTGGTCCCAGCAGCTCTGACCGCACTCTCTGCTGGTCCCAGCAGCTCTGACCACACTCTCTGCTGGTTCCAGGTGCTGAGGTTCTGCTCCCAGTCTCCGCGGACAATCGAGGTTCTCGTGAACGTTTACGATCGGCTGAAAGTGACCGATGATTGGGTGGAGTCGGTGCCATTGAAAGTGCTTCAGGTAGGAGCTGTTGATAGAGGGTCAATGAGAGACGCTGCCCAGCTCCAACCTCCTCCAGCACTGGACCTAGTGAAGTTGGAGACTGAGGCTGCCTCATTCAGGAACCCTCTTTATAACAAAGGGGCCCAACTCTGGTAACTGCATGATGACCACCAGCTCCCAACACAATAACTACTTCAATCACTTACATAGTGCCTTGAGTATAATGAAATGTCCCAGCGCTGTCAGCGAAGGTTCTCGACAGTTCAAGAACTCCTTGACCAGTTGTGAACACCATGTTATCTGGATATTTTTGTTGCTGGTGTTGAAGGACGATGCCAAGTGTACTTGGGCAAATGGGTTTACCTCAGCCTGCACCAATACCAGCAGGTAGCAGCAGGCATTAACAGAGTGGATGTCTCAAGGTTCACAACCCTTCAGTCACGAGAGTGACTCCTCCACACCCTGCATGCTGTGGGCTGGTCAAGTTATTGAGAATCCTTTGCAACCTCCAATGAGCAAACCTCATGATCAGGCGTGTGAGCTCAGTGCTGCCTTGACCACACACCTGGCCTCCCCCAATCCCGGGTTTCAGGATTTGTTCATTGTCCATCATCAGATCGCTCATCTGGGCCCGGAACTGGGAGCTAAAAGTAGAAGATGGTCATGAAAGAAATCAAGTCTTTCCTTTCCTATAACTCCTTCACAATCTCAATACCTGTTTCACACTTGGCAAATCGTGAAATGCATATCAAAAAAAAGGAGTAATTGCTGTGACGTAGGAAATGAAGCACCCAGCTTATGCACAGCAAGATCCTCCGTCTCCATCGCATCTGCCCTGACAAGGAGACGTTCCACTCCCAAGCATCCCCGATGTCCTCCTTTTTCAAACAACATTCTCTTCCCCCCCATCCCATCATCCAGACAGCCCTCCACCATACCTCCCCCATTCCCCACTCCACAGTTCTAAATCCCAACCCCCCACCCCCACTCCAAGCATAATAAAGATAGTGTCCCCCTTGTCCTCACTTTCCACCCCACCAGCCTCTGCATCCAATGTATCATCGTCAAACTCCGCCAACTCCAATTAGACCCCACCACCCAGAACATCTTCCACTCCCCACCACTCTCTGTCTTCCACAAGGACCATTCCCTTCGCCACTCCTTAGTTCGAGTCACATTCCCCACGAACCACTCCAACCCCCAGGCACCTTCCCCAGTAACCGTAAAAGATGCAACACCTGCCCACACACTACCTCCCTCACCTCCATCTAGGGTCCTAAACAGTCCTTCCAGGTGAAACAGAGCTTCACCTGCATCTCCTCCAACCTAGTCTAGTGGATCCGGTGCTCCCGATGTGGCCTTCTCTACATCAGTGAGACTAAATGTAGACTGGGTGACCGTTTCACTGAGCATTTTTGCCTGGCCCGTAATGGACAGCCTAACCTCCCGTCACTGCTCATTTCAACTCACCCCGCCCCGCAGCTCTCCCTCCTCGGCCTCCTCCAGTGTTGCAGCGACTCGGAACACAAATTTAAGGAACAACATCTTATCTTTTGCCTGGGCACCCTACAGCCCGGAGGACTCAACACTGAGTTCTCCAATTTCAAATAACCTTTCCACCCATCCCCTGGCTCCCTTTCCAGCCCCACCCCCTCCCTTCCATTCCACCTTCTGACCCTCCCTTCCAGCTACCAACCAGATTCATCCCTCCCATCGACTTACCAGGTTGTACCTACTACTGGTGTCCACCTATCATCACCATTCCGCTACCCCCATACCCTCTTCTTTATCTGTAGCTACCCCTACATCCACATCCAGTCCTGAATAAGGGTAATACCAAAACATTCACTGCTCCTTTCCTCCAGATGCTACCTGGCTTGCTGTGTTCTTCCAGCCTCCTGTTTCCACCCATGTTAAATGGCGAGTTTTCATGCTGTTGAGTGGGTATGTGGGAAAGTAGGTTGGGACTGATGAAATAATTGGAGTGCAAGGGATAGTGTGGGCCATAAATACAGACATAAGCAGGCCAGCATCTTGACATTGTGTGTCATTTGTCTTCCAGGAGCACCAGGATTTCTACGAGTCCCTGTTTGCACTTTCCCAGACACCACGCTCACTGCAGCACCTGGCCCGATGTGCCATTCGCGCACACTTTGAAGGGCATTGCCAGGATCGAATCCCTCAACTCCCACTGCCAACCTTCCTGAAGGACTATCTGTTGCTGCAGTTTCAGGGATATATCAGTTAGTGAGCTGAAGCACAGACACTGAAGCACAGTCAACTCCCCATCGACAAAGGCCAGAGTCAGTGAAAACAACAGAACCCAACCCAGCAACACAGACAATACAGGCCATTTGTTCAGACCTGCTCTTACTTCATCAAATTCTAGATTCTGGATAATAACCAATAAACATCCACTCCCTCCACCACCGACGCTCAGTAGCAGCAGTGTGTACTATCTACAAGATGCACTGCAGAAATTCACCAAAGATCCCTTAGACAGCACCTTCCAAATCACTACTATCTAGAAGGACAAGGGCAGCAGACACATGGGAACGCCACCCCCTGCAAGTTCCCCTCCAAGCCACTCACTATCCTGACTTGGAAATATATCGCTGTTCCTTCACTATCGCTGGGTCAAAATCCTGGAATTCCCTCCCTAAGGGCATTGTGGGTCAACCGACAGCACATGGATTGCAACGGTTCAAGAAGGCAGCTCACCACCACCTTCTCAAGGGGCAACTAGGGACATGCAATAAATACTGGGCCCAGCCAGCAACACCTACATACCAGGAATGAACAAAAAAAAATGGCTGGAAAAAGAAAATGGGTAAATGTAACCTGGATAGTGAGTTCATGCAATGTTTTTCAGGATAGATTTTCAGCATGTTCTGGAGCTGCCCAGAGAACAGGATATACCACATCTTGAGATCCTTAATAATCTTAAAGTGAAGGAGCCCCTAGATAGCAGTGATCACAATATTTTTTAATTTTGTATTCAGTTTGAGAGAGAGTGGAGTGGATCTGAGATTATTTTCTCAAACATAAATAAAGGGATTTATGAGGATATGGAAGCCAAACTGACAAAAGTGAATTGGAATATTCATTTAAAGAATATATCAGTGAAAATCATAGAATACAGAAGGAGGTTATTTGGCCCATTGTGTCTGTTCTAGCTCCTGAAAGAGATACCCAGCTAGTCCCATTCTCCAGTCCTATAATTGTAGCCCTCTAACTTCATCCATTGCAAATATATATCTAGCTCTCTTCTGAAACCTCCTATGGAATCCACCTCCACCACTCTCCCAGGCAGCACATTCCAAATCCTGACAATTCTCTGAGTAAAGATATTTCTCCTTATCTCGTTCCTAGCTCTCTCGCTGACAATCTTGAAATTGTGATCCCTCGTTACTGACATACCAATGAGTAGAAACAGAATATCCTTCTTTACCCTGTCAAAATTGTTCATAATCTTTAACACCTTAATAAGGTCACCTTTTAATCTTCTTTCAACAAGAATAAGGCCAAATTCTCTAGTCTTTCCTATATCTAAAATCCCTCATTCCTGGTATCATTCCAGTATATATCCTTCGTACTTTCTCCCAGGTCTTTAACATTCTTCCTTAAATAAGGTGCCCAGAACTGAACACAATAGTCCAAATGTGGTCTGACCAATGATTTGTAGCAGTGTAGTATCACTTCCTTACTTTTATACTCTGTGCCTCGATTTATAAACCCAAGGAACCTATAAGCCTTCGTAACAACTGTTTCCACTTGCCAGGCCACCTTCAGGGAGTTACGTATATTGAATCCTGAGGTCCCTCTACCCCTGTACTCCTCTCAAAGTTGTACTATTGAGCCTGCATTGTCTCTTCATGCTTCTTCCAGCAAAGTGCATTACTTCACATTTCTCTGCATTGAAATTCATCTGCCAAGTGTTTGCCCATTTCACCAACTTGTCAATGTGTCTCTGATATCACTCAGCATCATCCTCACATTTCACTATTCTCCCTAGCTTAATGTCATCTGCAAATTTAGAGATTTTGCCCTCAGCTCCTGTCTCTAAATTGCTTATATAAATCAGGAAAAGTAAAGGTCCCAACACTGATCCCTGGGGAATATCACTTTCAACTCATCTCCAATCTGAGAAATGTTCATCTACACCGACCAAACATTTCTAATTTGTTAACCAACCTGCCATATGGCACCATAAATTGATTTTCATCATCTTCCTACTTAATATTGAATTTTATTATGTTGTGGTCACTATTTCCAAAATGCTTCCCCAGTCTGACATTCTCAACTTGGACTGCCCTATTTACAGTCACAGAGTCGAACAGTATGGAAACAGACCCTTCAGTCCAAGTAATTCTTACCGATCATGTTCCCAAATTAAACTAGTCCCAACTACCTGGGTTTGGCCCATATCCCTCTAAACCTTTCCTATTCATGAACATATCCCAATGCCTTTTAAACATTGTAACTGTACCAGCATCCACCACTTCCTCTGGCAGTTCGTTCCACACACTAACCATTCTCTGTGTAAAGAAGTTGCTTCTCATGTCCTTTTTAAATCTTTCCCCTTCTCAACTTAAAAATATGTCCCCTAATTTTGAACTCCCCCACCTGAGGAAAAAGACCTTTGCTATTCATCTTTTCCATGCCCCTCATGGTTTTGTAAACCTCTACAAGGCCACCCCTCAAACTCCTACACTCCAGTGCAAAAAGTCCCAGCTTATCCAGCCTCTCTTATAGCTCAACCCCTCAAGCCCAGCATCTACCTGTTTTCCATTATCAACTCTGGTTGTTATGTCCTCAAATCTAGCAAATTTATCCCTTTCACAAAACCATGTTGACTCTTTGATGGTATTAAACTTTTGTAAATGTTCTGTTATTTCTTCCCTAATAATGGATTCTAATATTTTTTCAATGACACATGACGCCAACTGGAAAAAGGTAGGAAAGTAAGTTGTGAAGAGGACGTAAACAGGTTCATAAAGAGGTTTAGCTTGGTTCTATGAGTAGGCAAAGATCTGGCAATAGAGTATAATGTATGAAAATGTGAATGTGTCCATTTAGCAGAAAGAACTTTTAAAAAACAGATTATCTGAAAGCTGAGATTATAAAGGTCTGAGACGGAGGGATCTGGGTGTCCTTGTACATGAATCACTGAAGGTTAGTATGCAGATGCTGCTAGTGATTAGGAAAGATAATAGAATATTATTACTTATCACAAGGGCATTTGAATGAAAAAGAAAGGAGATTATAGTTCAGCTATACGGGGAATTGGTGAGACCACATCTAGAGTATTGTTTACAGTATTGATCTCTGTAATACTTGAAATGGAAACTTACAAGCTTGGACATGCTGGACTTGTATCCTAAGAAGGGTCACTGGACTCAAAGCATTAACTCTCCTTTCACTCCATAGATGCTGCCAAACCTACTGAATTTCTCCAGCAATCTCTGTTTTTGTTTCAGATTTCCAGCACCTACAACTCTTTGCTTTATATCATGGACATGCATCCACTAGTTTCGAAAAGCAAGAAGCGACTTGTCTGAAACATACAAGATCCTGAGAAGTGCATGTGGATAGGATGTTTCCTCTTTTGGAAGAATTCGGAACTAAGAGTCTATTACAAAATAAGGGGTTACCAAGTTTAGACAGGGATAAGGAGAACAGTTTTCCTACAAAGAATCATTAATCATTCAAATTCTCTTGTTCAAAAGACAGTGGAAACAGAATACTTAAATGTTATTAAGGAATAGGTAGATGCTTTCTTCATTTGATTTGATTTATTATTATCATGAACTTTGGTACAGGGAAAAGTTCTATTTTGTGTACAGTACAGGCAGATCATACCATACAAAGTGCAGAAGGGTAATAGAACAGAGCAAGGAATACAATGTTATGGCTGCAGAGAAGTTGTCAAAGAGAGAGGTCAACATTAAATAAACAATGGGGTAAAGGCTATCAAGGATAGAAAATGTGGTCTGGTCAGATCAATGTGATCTAACTGAGTACAGAGCAGACTTGAGGGATTCCTTTACTTCCTCCTCCAAGTCAAGGCTTGGGTCAGATTCACTCATGACTATAGCCATCTGGTTGTTGGTGAGCATCAGGCGATGGTCATGAGTCGGTTCTTGATCCCTGCAGGATGGTCAGAGGGGCAACTGATGAGCTGGGTTTTAATTGTGAATCCAACACCATGAATTCTGAGCTCATCAGCAGCCTTTCCTTTCCAGAAGAAGGTGTAACCATCTTTTACCTCTTTCTGCAAGGTGGGTTTCGGAAAGAGCAGTTAGGTCGATCTGGCATCTCTTCAGTTCTCTGGCTATGATTGCAGTTCTTCTCTCAGGTCAGCCACTGTTAGCTGTGTCCATCAGGGTTCTTACATTCCAGGCTCCAAAGTTTATTATTCTTCGTTTCTGACCACAGATGGGTAATCCTTCTGGATGCAATAATCCAGTCAGGAGTTTTGAGGCAGGACATTTTTAGGGCACCTTTTCCAGCCCCCTCCCCTATTGGGTTGAGCAGAGCAGATCTTAAACAGGGCTGCTCAGTCATGGGAGCAGCTTCTGAAATGCTCTATTTGCCTCCTGCAGGAACAAGACAACTGAATCTGATACCCACTATCTAATGTGTCAGTTTGTGATTAAGGGCTTCCAGATATCACAGACCTATCTTCTCCACCACTAATTGATTATTCTAGGACTTTTGTCAGTAGGACTGGTACATCCTCAGAGGATGCCTGTGTGTGAAATCTTTTAATGTGGGGAAACTGGTGCGCAGATGGTCACCACATGGACCTTGTCAAATAGGGTCAAAACTCAGTGGCATAGAGACCAAGGTGACTGGAGGCCCTTTTCTGTTGCCGTCTAAATTCACCATTGCCACTATTGTGATGCTCTAATTTAAATTTTGCTTATCATCCTACGCCATTGAAGTCTTCATGGATCACGTTTTTTCTGGAACCTCCCCCCTTGACCTTACCATAATGGGTGATCCTGCCAGGAGCTACACTCCAGGCGGTTGAGCTCTCAGGTTCCTAGGTATACACAAGTCTCTCCATTACCACAAGGTGGCAATCCTCAGGGAGGGATCATCGACCTCATCTACTACCTATCCATCCACTCCACCAACTTGTCAATGTCCATCTGGAGTTCCACACTCTGTTCCCCATAGTTTACAATTCTTGTGCAAAGGCAGAGGCAGAATAGAATTTGGAAAGAATATTTTAAAAACTGCACAAAAGGGCCAAAACATTAATAAGGAGGGAAAGATGGGTACAAGAGAAAGCTAGCTGTAAGTATAATAAGAGAGTAAGAGTTTCAATTTTTTTTTTCAAAAGTGAGCAAAGTGGCTGAGGGTCCTATAGAAAGTGAGTCTGGGGAAAAGTGAAGAGAAAATAGGGAGATGGCAGACAAATTGAACAGAGATCTTGCATTAGTCTTCACCAAAGAGATTGTGAGACACATCCCAGATATTCCCAGTGATAAGTCAGGAAATGGAAGAGAGGGAGGAACTCAGAAAAATCACCATTACCAGGAAGTGGTCCTGAGTAAATTTTTGTTCACGTGGGAATTAGGAGCAGGAATAGGCATTTCAGCGCTCCAAGCCCGCTCCGCCATTTAACACGATCATGGCTGATCTTATCCTGGTCTCAACTCCACTTATCAGCCCATGGCCCTTTATCCTGCTTTTCATCAGAAACATACCTATTTCTTTCTTGAATCTGTCAATTGATTCTGCCTCCACTGCACTCTGGGGCAGTGAGTTCCACAGATTCACAACCCTCTGAGAGTAGTTTCTCCTCATCTCAGTTTTAAACCTACCTCCTCTCACTCTATATCTATGCCCTCTTGTCCTAGACAGTCCCTCAAGGGGGAACAACTTTCCAAAACCCACTTTATCAATCCCCTTTCGCATTTTATATACTTCAACAAAATCACCTTGTACTCTTCTAAACTCTGGTGGGAACTAAGCTAGCCTTTCCTCAGAAGACAATTCCAGTCATTGATCTGGTAAACTTTCTCTGTGCTGCCTCCAATGTACTTATATTCTTACTTAAATAAGGAGACCAATACTGTACACAGGACTCCAGATGTGGTGCCACCAGGGCTCTGTGTAACTGAAATATGCCCTCCCAACTTTTTGTATTCAATTTCCCTCACCGATAAATGATGACATTCTATCACCTTTCATGATTACTTGGTGTACATATGTTATAACTTTCTGTGTTTCATAAACAAGGACACCCAGATCCCTGGGCACCTTGGAGCTCTGCAACATCCCAACATTTTGATAATATGCGTCCTTTTTATTCCTTTCTGTCAAAATGAACACTTCCACACTTTCCCACATTATGCTCTATTTGCCAGATCTTTGCTCACTCACATAACCTATCTATACCCTCTGTATGCACCTATGTCGTCTTCATTTCAAATATGTTGAGGAGAAAGTGATTGTGGAAGATCATTTTGAAGCTAATTGTTGATGAGGAATACCTGCCTCCCATCACAAACGTAAAGGATCCAACATAGGAGAACCTCATAGTCTTCTGTATTCAAGTCAAGGAACCTGTGGTAGATTTTTTTTTAATCAATCTGCTCAGACATGTTATGCCACTCCTCTGGAACAAGTGAGACTTGAACTCTACCATCTGGTCCAGAGGAAGGGTCAGTACCACAACACCACAAGACCCTGAGAAACCCAGAGTTGTCATTAGTGCCAATGGTCTGATGTGTTTCCACTTGTGAAGAGGAGGAAACTACCACAATGTAGTTGTGCAATTCCACCTGAATGGTTGAAAATCCATAGTACAGAATTTAAACACAAGATAAAATAAAACAAAGAACTGTAAATGCTGGAAATCTGAAACAAAAACAGAAATTGCTGGTGAAACTCAGCAGGTCGAGCAGCATTGTTGGAGAGAAAGTAGAGATAATGTTTCAAATTTGAAAGTTCTCTGCTTTTTCTTCACACGTTATCAGACCTGCTGAGTTTTTCCAGCAATTTCTATTTTTGTTAAACACAAGCTAATCTGTGTATTTCTAAAGGAGACTTTGATTTACTTTCTCAGAATTTGGTGTACAATGGCAAAAACCTGTAATCATTGATGCTTTGTGCAGAAATTTTAAAAAGTGTACAAGAAAAGATCAGGCATTGAGTTTTGTTAATCCAGTGAATATTTCAAACGTTCTAATCCCATTTGTTACATGTACAGGCTTTCATTTAAGTCAGTTTTCATCATTTTGTGAAATTGAAATGTAAGACTGTAAATGAAAGGATTGTCTTTAGGGTCTGTGACAGTCTATTTGATACAAGTTTATGAGCACTTGTTTATTTTTTCAAGCCCTTCTGATGAAGCCATTGCTGTGGTTTAAGTGTCCTTCAACCCCCAGGGGCAAGGGGTGGTGAAGGAAATGGTGAGGCAGTGGTGAAGAAGAGGGAGGGGAGTAAGAAGAATATTCATCAGGCCTGGTATTCATCATTGAAACAGATAGCAAGCTGAAAAATTTGGATTCTTTTATTTTGTTTTTGCAGTAAAATAATATAGTATCTGTCTGTCTTATCAGTGTGAAGTGGAGGTTTATGATCATGGAAGATTAGATATTAATTATGTTGCCATGTATTTTATTTGTTTTCTGCAAATGTTGCATTCTTAACAATAAATTGTTAATTTTTGCTGAAGTTATAAACTTGGTATCCAAGATCAGTTATTTGTAAGGTCTGGTAAGAAACAATTGAACAATTTTGAGGGTTATTAATTTCACTGTATTGTGAATCCAGTGATAATGAATCTGCTTTGATTTGCTTTGCTACCCCTGTGTTGTAACACTCAGGATTGCAGTGCAGCAATCTGGGAAGAATATCCTGCAGTAAGCATCATGGTGAGACAGTTTGGGAAGAGTATCCTGTAGTCAGCATCATGGTGAGACAGTTTGGGAAGAATATCCTGTAGTCAGAATTGCAGTGAAGCAGTTCAGGAAGAGTGTCCTGCAGTCAGTTCTTGATGAAAGTAACAATAAACATGTGGATCATAGAAAATTGATAAGTTCATCGGATGATAAGAAACTTGCTGTAAGTTTCTGTAAATTAGGAATTAGAAGTATTTTGTTAACCATCTTCAGCTGCTTCATCAATGATCTTCCCTCCATCATAAGGTCAGAAGTGGGGATGTTTGCTGATAATTGCACAAAGTTCAGCACCCTTCGCAACTCCTTAGATACTGAAGTAGTCCATGTTCAAATGC